TTGTATGGTTTTATCTCGTCTAACAATCATATTATTTAACATTGGTGGTTTTCTACTGACTTCAGTCTTTGAACATGAATATTTCTTACAGATGGATGGATAAAAATTACATGTAAAAGGGTATAGGTGTTTTCTTTAAGTCACCATCTCCTTTATCCAGAACTGGTCATGACTTTAAATAAGTCCCTTCACTGCTAACTTGAGGTAACCAGGTTGAGAAGAGAMGCTGGCTCTTGCAGAGTGGTTTGTGCTCTTTTATTTTAAGGGAGGGCATAATGTATTTTTCAGGCTCAYAGTTCAGTTCTATACCACAATCTATTACCTTCAGTTGTTATGAAAATGCTGTATCAATAAWACATTTGACTTTGCACCATATTAAACATCTTGAAATTGGCCTCTGTCTCTTTAAGAACTTTTTACTGTGCAACACTCCCACTTCAGCACATTTTGCAGGAGGGATGCTCTGTGGGSCAAGAGATCAGCTGCAGACATTGCTCCAGGAAGGTGCTATGTACAAAAAGGTGGTGCTTTGTACCAACAAGCCTTTAGGCAGCTCCACACAGCTACACAGGTGATTTAAGGATCTCCCAAACATGTATGAATGAGTCAAAGCAACACTCTGGGTATGTTTTTACTTAAGGAATGAGATTATACCATGATATAAAAGCTCAGAAAAGTTGATTTTGCATAACACATCCCGCCAATCCTTTACAGTTTTGCACACCAATCCAAGGATTAAACAGAATACACCTTATTTAGCTTGTGCTCAGGTATTTTATTGTTAAATTTACATTCTTTTCAAAGAATACTGTAAATGTTTGAAAGTGAATATTTCAAACCATAAACTGGATTATTAAAAAAATAGCAATCTGCTGATAATGAGGGGAAAAACTCTTTTTGCACTTTGAATTATGTAGACAGGAGCACACTGGACCGTCTTCAGTTGAAAATGCTTTAATTGTGATGTAGAAACAGTAGAAAAATACATAGTATTGCACATAATCACTAAATTGCACTTTCTTAAAGTACGGCTCTTACATGGGTATCAGTGGCTTGATCATCTGTTGTGTAATTCATTGATGGGAAGCCAGCATTTGTCTTCCTGACATTTCTTGTACTTTTAAAATAATGTTCTCAAAAAGCTACAAATATAAAGTCGATGAAAGGATTCAGTTAACACCTGCTTTGTAACAAGCTCTTAGCCACTGCTACATCATCAGGGCTTCATCTCTTTGTTTTTATGTACATGACCAAAGCTGGTGGCTACAACTGCTGAGTGATTACTGTCCCATTCCTCTAGCTCTGGTTTTAGCCCTTCTGCTCCTGCTGCAAGTTCAGTGCAAAGTTGGTAGGGTGGTTTGACACACAAGTTTTGGCGTTTTAGAAAAAAAAGTTACATTAGTTTGTAGCTGAATAGCAAAATCAATTCATAATGAAAACCAACTTTGAAAAAGTAAACTCAACATGAAAACACAAATTATTAAGCTTTGCTACTTTATCTTCAGCAATACACCTTTAAACCCCTGCTGCTATTAGGTCAAAATGACCCACAAAGCTTCAGTTTGAAACTGAGCAGGCCTCATTGGTCATTTTGACCTGAGGGCAGCTGGTTCAGGTGACAGAAATGCAACAATTGTTAAAAAAGCCTTTTCAATTTATCTGAAATTCCAAAAAAAGAGAGCATTCATAAAAATACTGTATAAGTAGTCAAAACATTCTATCTGCTGATAAAAATAGGATTCAATGCAGATTATTTCTTCTATCTTTAAATATTGTACCTGCTATAAGAGTAATCAATTTTTAAGCTGGAAAATTGGATTTCACAGTACCTTGCTAAAAACATTAATATATTCTAAAATAGAAATTCTTGAAATTATTAGCCAAATGAAAAAYTGAAAACAGCCATGTCCTGGCTGGTTGGCTGCACAGTGAGGTAAAACATAAGTGGACAGAAGGATAAAGGGACGGAGTTGGAAAGACATGTAAGGAAATACCAGCAAAGGCAAGCAAATATTCAGTCACACAAGGGGGAAAAGTGCTGCGAGTTAACAAATAAGAAAGAGGAAGAAAGTTCAGGGTGACAAGAACAGTCCATACGAACCGTCACTGGGTTTCAGTCTTTTGCACGTTTCAATACCTAAATGTTTTGTGCTTTTCGGGAGGTGTGGCTGATGTCCATTCAAATATTAGAGCTTCCTCCAAACGAGACCCTCCACATGGCACCTCCTCTCATTGCCAAACAGTATGCTCTATGGGCAAAAGACCAAAAGTGCATYGCATTCACTGGAAGATGCCTAAAAAAGGTTTAAACACAAAGTTTATCAGGACATAAACAGTCCATCTTTCATTTAGGTTTAAAAGAAATGCTCATCAGATCTCACCTTGTTGTTGAAGGTGTAGATCCTGTCCAGCAAACGTGGCAGAAAAAAGAATAGACTGAATTTAAAATGTTTTATTTCTCTGATGTTCCCCCAGCTGACCTGACAGTCTCAGCTAAATCAGCTTGGCTCCCGACATCGTCCATTTGCATGGGTTGATCCATCCCATCCATCCCAATCTTCACATTTCTTCAACCATTCTGTGAATAATTTGGGCAGTAATGCACCCAAACAAAAATGGCTGTTTCCAACGCCTTCATGTTTTGTTCAAAGGAACCAGAGTTTCCATCGAGCATGCTTCTTGGACTCTGACTTAGACTTGCGTTTTGGGGTGGAGGTGAAGACTTCATTGGAATAAGGCAGTGCAGGGCATTGTTTGCTGTCCATCGGACACAGTCTCTTCATCAGGGGCTGCAATTTATCCTCCTGCTGCTTAAAGTCCAGCTCAACACTGCAAATGAAGCATAGGAAGTAAAATGTTAGAAAGTCTAGATCATTCTAGCTTTGGTCAATCAAGGACAGAAACATCAGAGACTTTAATYTTAAAGGTTTCAAAAGCAATTTGTTTGGTAAACATTACATTCACAACCGAGTGTTTGAGTTAGTTTTTATGCTAATAATCTACAGAAGGAGGCTGGGATGGAAGCAAAAATGTTTAAACTCACTCACACACACCATTGTACCACATCCGTTGCAGTTCATATCCATATTTTAGAAATTCCTCCAAGTAATTGAGTGCCTTTGCCTGCTTTTTTTGCATTTTCCATGCCTGAAGTCAAAGGGCCTTTTTTTGTTTTTTGCGTAGATTATATCTGCATTAAAAAAAGAACCAGGATTTGGGTTGGTCCTGACATCAGACCTCCACATCCATGAGTGTAATCCCAGAATGGGTTTGTTTCTGCACCGCAGCTGAACAATCTCTCCTATTAAATCTCACAGGACTGAGAGAAATGTGTGACTTAATCCCATCCAAATGAAACCATTGAGGGAACACGCAGACCCTGATTAACTGCCTGTATACAAGCAAGGGATAAATGCACAATTGTATATGATTTCCTCTTACTATTGATTTCAAGTGCTTTTTGTGCTGTTGTTATTCTTAGAATATGTAACGTTAAAATAAACTATAGTAGAAACAGTGGAGAACAAACCATACTTCAAGAATGTTTATGAAGATTAAAGGGAGAAGACTGAGCTAAAGCTGAAACAAACGAAAAACAAAACAGGAAAAAAAAGATAATACAAGGTCAAACATGTCGTTTTTTTTTCTTTCAGGCAGATAAAGGTACAAAGATTGCTTCGATAGGGTAACCACTTTGATGGGCAGTGTAATTAGTTTACTAAAGGATATGCCTGACTTAAAGTGATATAATGAAACTGAAACCTGTCCTCACCCCAACAATGAGTGTCAGCTAGTATCAAGAGCTCTATTAAAGCCACCAGGGAGAGATCCAGTAGAGAGTGGCTGGATTGGCAGGCAGAGACCTGCAGTGAATCAATGTATTAGATAAAATACATCCATCCATTCATCCATTTTCTTTACCCGCTTTTTCCTTGAGTCACGGGGGAGCTGGTGCTTATCACCAGCACTCATTGTCCTGGACATACTGTCTTAGACAAATTCAAATTCAAGTCTGAAAACCTGGTTTGTTGCTTGCTTACAACGTAACATCATATTTTAATATAAAAACAAGCTTTTTAGCTTTTTTGTTGAAAACCAAACTTGCTTTGCATCATTAAGGCTGGTTAAAAAAGATTAAATCAATCTTTGATTGATTTCTTTTAAATTTTGAAATATTGATTCATAGGGCATGAGATAGATTTTTCACAAGACGTTAACCTCAGTAGTCTCATACGTGATGAAGCAGAGGCATGTTTATGTGGTTTGCGTCTTTCCTGGCAATGTCCATCCATGAGCACTAACGTTAGCTTCCGATAAAAAGTCGTCTGGGACAACAAAGAATAAACTTCCTTAATTTCTCAAAAAAGTTTGAGCATTTGCTTGAGGGTGGCTGTAGCTGAGTGGTTAGGGGAGTTACCTCCCAATGTGAGAGTTGGCAGTTTAATTCCACTGYTATTCAGTCACATGTTGAAGTTTCCTTGGGCAAGACACTGACCCCACACTGACTCTGACGTGTGTCCCATCAATATGAGTGTGATCCAAAGCACTGACTTTTTTTTCCATAGAATGATTTATGTAGATTAGCTTTATAGAGAGTTTTAGTGGAGTGCTGTATGAATGGATAAATGAAGGCACACAATGTAGTGTAAAATGCTTTGAGTATCCTGGTTGGACAGTCCATTCAACATTTGAGTTGTTTTTCGGATTTCCCGAAAAGGAGTTAATGTGCAAAAGGGGAGATGGAAACACATTTACTCAATAAGTTCTGAAAAACATTTACCTCACATGATTGATCAGCTGTTTCCACTATTGGTGTCTTCCAGGATTAAACCATAGCATACAAAAACATGGCTGGAACCAGCAACAGGTACGTGTGAACTGACAGCATGTAACATCACCAATACTAGTTGATATGACAGAGCAAAAGTACAACTTGCTTGATGGCAACGCATTCCTGAACACTTTGGCTGTGTCCAAAACAGTGGACCGGGTCYTCTGAAGGCCGAATTCGTCGGCCGCAWACATCACAGCTCCGCGACGAAGGCCGTCCAAAACCGAAGACTCCTCCGATGCGGCCGACAAATACGTCCTTCCTTTGGCCCGAATCAAAGGACTGGTCTGATGGATTCTTCCCGGCCCAGCATGCATTGCGGCCCGACCGGAGATTTTTTTATGCCAGTAATTGCGGATGAAGCGAGAGAAAATAATATGTTCTAAATAAAAATATGGCAGTATAAAAATGAAAATTTTCTAGCGGTTGTAATTCTAATACTTTTATCATTTGTATAGACATGTTTTWAAWWWTWMTTTTTMWYAWAAAAAMCGCGAAATAAACATGCACCTACAGCGGGTCAATTAGTTCTTCAAATGWTACCTTTAAGTTAATTTTATWGTTTTGTGAYATTAATAATGCTAATRTATTGATATTTTTCTAATTTTGATTTACGTTTGCTTGTTTAACGTCGTCACAGTTGCTAGGTGACACCACGTATGGACGGGAGGCTAGACCGTCCAAATTCACAGCCTCTTTTTTTCCCGGTCTTCCCGGTCTACCAAGGGCTCTGCCCACCTCCACCGGGTAGTCTGGGTCCTCCGGAGGACCCAGCCTGTCATTTTGGACACAGCCTTTGTCCTGAGATGTGTGGTCAATGCTATTTTGCAACTTCTACTTCCTGTTTATTACAGCCATGCRTAACAACATCTGGTTGATTCACTCAAATCAGTAGATGAAAACACACCTAAAATAAAAGTACATTTTTACTTTGCAATACATTTGAGCCATTTTTATTATTTAAGAGCAGATTGAATTTAATGTAATCATGTTATTATTATTTATTAATCGCTACCTTTACACTCTCATGTGAACTTTTTWAAAAATTTAAACAAAAGCAGGGTTTTGCAGGTTTACCCAACAGTGAGTCGCTAACAACAGGAAAAACAATTTTCTGAGCGGAGTGAAGACTTTATCTTGACAGAAATGCTGTTTCTTGCAGTATGCATGGTCCATGTCTTATTTATATCACCCATTGTTCTGTTGCTTCTCACTTTTATCACGGTTTGTATCTTTAATGCTAAAACCTTTGCATCTTTTACAACGGGCATCCAAATAATGTTGACTTGGCAGAAAGCGGTGTAGGAGAGCGGCAGCACAGTGCAATGCAGAGTGGTCTCAACAACTATTAAGCAATTAATCACTTGGCAGATCACCGCAATTGCTGCACACTGTGGACAAATGCCTTGGTGGGAAGCCAKAGGCAGGCTCTGCACGATGCGATTGGCACTCGGAAGCAGGTGCTTTGACAAACAAAAGCCCCTATATCTAAGATCATCTCTGTGCAAGAACAGATTGAAGCAGTTGGAGACAGGAAGGCTTTTCTAGGGCATTCAGAAACGGAGATTAATCAATCCTTTAGATATGCAGCGTGAGCTGCTCCTGCTCTGTGATCAGGAGTGCACAGTCTGATAGTCAGTGATTGTGATGTGCCGAACACCATTCAATCACTGTTGCACCTGAGAGAAATGTTAATGCCTTTATTTTTCTTTCATCTACAGATAGCTTTAGTATTATTTCCCGTTTTGCGGTTTTCCCCTGTCATTCACACGTCAAACTCTTGAGAAAAACAAGTGCAGGCCCAAGTATAGTGTCATGTACTCACGGCTACGTGATGGGGTACGGTACATTAAGTTATCAGGAAATGACGAGTCAGTTCTCCTTTCCTGACAGACACAGCTGAAGTAGAAACTTCCCAAAGGTGATGTAAATATTGTGAACAACTTCTTTCTGTTATGCACTGTGAAACAACTCGCTGCTGCATGTTGCTATGTTTTCGGCTTTACAGTCACAAGGTGAAKCAAAACAAAACAAACAAATTCTCAATAATGGCAAATGAATAGAATGAGGCACTTTTGGCAATTGTACAAAAAACGACCAAAACTTTGCCATCTCAGCGTGGAACCCAGTACTAATTAGATCCTTTTTGTCTGATCATGTTGAAAGACATTTGCCTTTCCCTGAACTCAGCTGTATTTCAAAGTCATTGTTATTCCCAAATTGGAAACCGTGTATTGTGCATTTTGAATCAAATGCTGGCTCTCAGTCAACACAGGAGGCCATGAATAGAATTTCTGCTTTGATCTAAGGACTATTGTAACATTGGCCTCTTACTGTAGGCTAGGTTGACTCAGTGGTGCACCTTACAGTTTGGACTCGATGCTGTTGTAAATCCTACAACATTGCACACAGTCATATTTGCAAAAGAACAAAAAGAGAAGAAAACCGTCCCTATCTCCAGATGGTGTGTTTAAGGTTATTTTAATTACTTCATCTAAATTGTAAGAACACTAATAATAGCTTGGTAATAATTTCCAATCCTTGCTCTAGTTACATCTAATTTTGCAGATTGCTATAATATCCTGTGTTGCACAATGAGCTGGAGGATAACACCACTGTAGTCAATTATTAGTTAAGGCTTATCTATATTTGCTCGGCACTGTTCCATTTTTCATAGGAATATAATTAATTTTGTTCAACATTAAAAAAAGCTCTATCCTAGAAACCTTCTAAACGCTGGCAGCTATTATTGCCACACAGCAACATCATCCTTTATTCAGGGCTTTCTAGAAAAACGTATTATTTTAAAAACACTCGAGACTGCAATTGTAACCACTAAGATACTGTATGAGTATTCTAAATGTGGCAGCCAAATAATGAAAACTGAGGGAAGCTGCTGAGTTAAAAACTCTCCGCTTTGTTCAATAAGAGTAATTGCCATACAGGTAAGGGGAAATTTTAATTGACTTTTTGCCAAGGGTGCAACAAACAATGTCGT